TGTGAACCCTCACTCTGCCTTCTCCCATCCCTGTTCACCCTGGTGTTCTGTCTGGGCAAGGACCCTGGATTCTAAGAAGGCACAGAGTAGCCTTGAAACCCTGGCTCATGAGGCTGTCCAACGTGCTGCAACGATGCTGTTTCCACTTGTAAGCAGTCCCACTGGAATGACTAGCTCCCACACCACTGTTTCCAATGGGCAGGGAATTTCATTCCCATTTTATAGATGAGAAATAGAAGCCCAGAAAGTTAGCAGAGCTAAAGCTACAAACTCATTTCTTGTTTTCTGGTCCAGGGCTCTTTGCCCCCACTGGGCAGCCACAGTGCAATTTACCAATGCATACCCCAAGTGATTCTATCACTGCTGCCAAGCGAACATGTAAAATGCCCAGGCTCTCTTCCCACCCCCATCTCTATCTCCATTTCCCCAAATGTTGAGAGGCTTGTCCACTCCCACAGTGCCTCCTGAGACCGACCATTCAGGGTGACCCACAGGTGCTTGGGTGGACCTGCCTAGAACAGCAGTTCTGCACGTTCATGGCTCTGATCCATCGGGTATCCCCGGGTACAGCTCATCCCAACACCCTCCTACTGGTATGCTGGGCATGGGGAAAGCAATGTTCCCCCACTACTCTCATAGCTTACCAGTAATTGCTACCACTTCACCAAGTGTCTGTCGTATTTCAGGCACTGGCTTTGAACTTTTCATGTAATGTTCCTAATTCTCACAAGGAAAGTCTTGTTTTAACAGATGAGGAAGTTCAATGTTAGGCAGGATAAGTGGCTTGCCAGTAGTCAGTGTGGGGATTGGAGAGCTAGGATTTGAACTTAGATTTATCTGGTTCCATGGTGACCCTTCAATCGAAGCTCATCAACTAACATGAGAGTTCAGTGTCTCCCACTGCTGCTGACTTTGTGATCCCAGGCAAGTCGCTAATCCTGTTTGAACTCCAGCTTGTCATTTGCAAATGGAGGAAAGTGAAAGTGCATCTCCATAGGGTCCTTGTGAGGCATAAGTCAGATGAAGCATGCAGCCAGGATTCAGTGAGTGTTCGCTGCTAGTGTGAATGTGAGTATTACTGGAACATAGGTTCCTGGATGGGTGGATGGGGGTCTGGTTAGTCTTTCCACACCCCACCTGCCCCCTAAGTCCTAGCAGAGGAAACATCCAGTGTCCTGGGAAGGAAGTGGAAGTGTGTGAAGGCCAGTCCAGAGCCCCAAGCAGGGCCTGCTTCTGCCTCATGTCCCTGTGCTCTCAGGGGTGGGGACCACCTGGCTAGGACAGGCATGCCACTGAGCTCACATGTGTGGTTCTGCAGTACTTCATCAGCACTCCTCATGTTTATGTTGAGCCCGAGACCATTCTCAGCCCCCAGAGTCTGCTTTCATAAAGCTGTCCCAATATCCTCCCTAAAGACCCTGAGCAGGGAGAGCTGGGCTGAGAGGGGACAGCTAAGGATGCGGTTTCACATCCACTGTCATGGGGGCTACTCACATCCAATAGCAGGCAAAACTGGTTTACTCCTCCCATCATTCAGATAGGGAAATGGAGGCCCAGCAAGGTGAAGTGACATGTCCAAGATTACTGAGCCTAGAATGAAGGTTTCCAAACACCCAGAAAAGGGCTCCTTTAATTAGTCCTTAACTGATTACTCATCCTAAAATCATTCAAGGATAAAGGCAGTGTACATACATTCACAAACCAAGCAACCAACAAAGACATGGCTAATTATTACTGACTGCGGGACATTGTGAGGCGACTCTCTGCTGAGTCTGCTCTGCTGATTGCCCCTACTTTGACCAGAACTGGCTAATTGTGGGAAGTTGCATTCACTCAGAAGAGTAACAGCTTCCCCCTCAGAGCTTGATGCACGCAGGATTGAGTCATGCTGGCTGAGAACAATGAACTGTTCTGTAATCACCTCCTACAGACCCTGCCCAATATCCAACAGAGCCCCAGAGGAGCCTTTCCAGGAATAATGAGGCTGGGTCGGGGGAGATGGATGGGAATTCGCTGGGTCTCACCAGGGCAGCTTGACTCACAATCTGTCTTAGCCCTGAGCCCCAGGCAGGGAGACTCCACAGTGAGATGACTCTGGCATGCACCTGTGCCCCAAAGTTCAAGGAGAGGACGTCATTTGCATCTCAGGTACAAGGAAGAGAGGCAATGGTCTGGCCTCCAGACTGTTGGAGCACTGGGGTCAATGAGCAAACAGATGCTAGTCTCCTAGGCCTTTCTGGGGCCCCGATTTTCCCTTGTTCTGAGGAGCAGTGAGTAGGCAGGCAACTGGGGATAAAGAAGGGGGAACAGAGAGGCAAGACCCCCAGCAGACACATAGACAATGCGTATGATCAGACTGTACAACCCTCAGTGAACTTCCCACTCCTATGTATGCACATACCTTCTTGCTCCTACTTTTCCCTAGAACAGTGTTTCCTGACTTGATCCATGGAGTCCGTACAGTAGACCATCTTAGAAGTTAATAGGTTCTTCTCTCTCCCTGTATACTCCCCATCCACAGATGCCCAAAGTCCTAGAGCTATGCTAGAAGCCAAGCTGGGACACGGGTCACCCATGAGCAGTCTGGTGCAGTCACCTTCAGTCACCTGACCACTTGGCTATGTGAGATTTTTAATCTCAAACAATTATTCTCTCCTACCCAAATTCAAAACCCAGGGCACCTCCATTTTACTGTGGAAATTACAGCAAAAAATTTACACTAACAAAGGTAAGTTAAAGAGAAAACCAGACTTCCTTCTCTTTCAAAGATGCTGAAGAATTCATTTTCACCCAGTGTTATCTGCACCGGGGAAGAAGAAGGGAGTTCTTAACTTTTCTTTTTTCTTTTCTTTTTTTTTTTATCTTAGTAATGTGTTTTTACTTAAACAAATATATTTAGGCCAGAAGTAGTGGCTCATGCCCGTAATCTCAGCGCTTTGGGAGGCCAAGGTAGGCAGATCACTTGAGGCCAGGAGTTCAAGATCAGCATGGCCAACATGGCAAAACCCTGTCTCTACTAAAAATACAAAAATTAGCTAGGCGTAGTGGCACATGCCTGTATTCCCAGTTGCTCAGGAGGCTGAGACACGAGAATTGCTTGAACCCAGGAGGCAGAGGTTGCAGTGAGCCAAGATTGTGCCATTGCACTCCACTCTGGGCGACAAAGTGAGACTCTTTCTTTAAAAAAAAAAAAAAAAAAAAAGAAGAAGAAAATATATATATACACACTTTAAAAATATATTTATATATATATAAAAATGTATATATATATAACATGTAATCAATATAACAAAATTATGGAGATATTTTATATTCACCTTTTCATACTAAGCCTTGGAAATCCAATGTGTATTTTCCACTTCACATCTCAATTCAGAACTAGCCACATTTCAATTTGAACAGTGTTTTGTTCTGGGCCTTGCTCTGCAGACCAAGACAACCTGACTTTAAAAGCCATTGTCACCAAGCAAACCCTCATTTGATCTACAAGAATTCTTTATGGATCAGTGGATTTCCATCTTAGCAGCACATTGGCCTCAGCCAGACCACGCCTAGACCAAATACATCAGAATCTCTGGGAGTGGGTCCCAGGCATTGATGTTTATAAAGCTTTCCTAGAGATTTCAGTGTGCAGCCCAAGTTGAGACCCCTGGCTACATATCAGCATCCTACTCAAAGTGAGGACCACTGACCAGCATTATTGGTATCACCTGGGAGCTTGTTAGAAATGCAGAACCTCAGGCCCCATCCCGGACCTACTGAATCAGAACCTGCAAGTGAACAAGGACCATGGGTGCTTAGAACATTTACTACTGTCTGAGAGGCCTCCTAGAATGCACACTCTCTATATCCCATCTTGACACCTGATAGCAACCTTGCAAGGCAGGTGTTCTATTTCACAGGTGAGGAAACAGAACGGAAGAGAGGTTGAGTCACTCATCCAAGGTCACATAATTGGTGAGTAGGAGAGCCAGGGTGCAACCCAGATCTGGTTCCAAAGGCCACACTCTTTCAACTGCACAATTGTACCGCTTCCTACAGCACAATTAAACATATGGCCACAGAGAACCCCTGAGTGTTTGACTCCTTGAGCCTGCTGAACATGCCCTGCCTTTGAACAGGATTCCACTTCCAATGTCAAGTTCCCCAAAACAAACCTCATAAAGACCAGCATAATTCATGAGAAGATACAAATTGTAAACAAACATAGGGAAGATGTTCACTCTCCCTCATAATCAGAGAAATGCAAATTAGAACAACATTGAGGAATCATTTTCTACCTATATAATTAGCAAAAATTAATAAAAATTTTAGCAAAGTTATTCTGAAATAGGTACATTCATACACAATTTGTGGCGGTGTAGATTTATAGAACCCTTGAGAGAAGTCATATGGCAACATCCATCGAGAGCCGTAAATATATTATGCCCACTGACCCTGGGAATTCACCCTAAGGAAATAATTCACTGGGGGTGGGCGGGGGAAATGCTCTTTGTATGAAGATGCTCACTGCAACATTCACTGTGAACTCTGGAAACAACTTAATATTCAGCCAGTAAGAGAATGGCTGAGGAAACTGGGGGTACATCTGCTCCTGCAGTGTTATGCAGCCATTTAAAACCATAATTAAGAAGCCCAAGCAGCAACATAGCGATGTGGGTGAAAGAAAGCAGAATGCAAAACTGTCTCTCTGCATTGTGGTTTTTCTGATGTAAAAATATTGTGTGCATAAGGATATGGACAGCGAGGAGCTGGGCACAAAGGAAGGCAACCTTCAGAGTTGGGGGTGATGGAAAGACCCCCTCCTCCTATTATTTTTAGCATTATAAACCCTGGCACTTTGAGAACAGCTTCAGGGGCTCTCCCCTCATGGAGTCTATCTCGGAGGCAGACACAAGGAGGCAACTGGGTGCAGAGCCACATTCCTGATTGCACCAGCAGGTGAGGGGAGCCGGCCCGGTGGGGGTCAGGAAGGCCACGGGAGGCCCCTCCCATCTTACCATGAAGCCCGGTGCACAAGTGCAGCCCCCAGTGATGCTGTGGCAGTCGGCGCCATTCTGACAGGTGCAAGGCAGCTGGCAGCCATTGCCATAGTAGCCAGCAGGGCAGGATTCATTGCAGTGGCGGCCAGACCAGCCTGGCTGGCAGGCACAAGCTCCGGTTACTGGGTGGCAGCTGCACAGATAAGAGAAGGGTGAGAAGACAGTTCGTTCTAGGAAGCAGCCTTGTGCCCACCCTCTGCCCACCCCAAGCCTGGCTTGCCTAGGGTAGCGGGATCAAAGGACCTCTGGGATTAAATTGCTCAATGCCTCTTTTCTGTTTATCAGAGGATGCCAAGGCCACATGATCTTATTACCACCCAGAAGCTGAGGCTCAGGATGATTATATAACTACCCTGAAGTCAACAGCAAGGAGAAGACAAGAGCAGGTTAGAACACAGGGCTTCTGACTCCCACACAAGTCTTCTTTATAATTCAGACACATGAAAACCAAAAGAGAGAGTGGCCTTTTAGTCCCTTGGCTTATAGACTATGTGGTCCAAGGCTTCATCCATCCCTCACCCAAGATGAATGCCTGGTGTGGGAACAGGACGAGAAGGAAGCAGTGATAACCCAGTGGCTCTCAATATTGTAGGTGTTCAATGAATGTTGGGCTGAGTGAAAACAAGACTTTGGGCCAGACGTGACCTCCTCTCTCTGGCAATGTCTGTCCTGGACAGAGCAACCCCAACCTATGCCTTGCCAGGCTCTTTAACAGTGAGCAAGCTCTTCTCCGTCTCCTGTTTAGGCTAGAGAAAGGACCATTCGGCTAGAGGCAGGGGATCCCTGGCATGACCTCTAGAGAGTCGGGCAACCTCTAGCTGGCAGCCATCTGATCCAACAGCTGATGTCCATTCATGGTCAGCGGGATGCCGGTTGTAACCATGTGCTGCTCAGAACTCCTGCAGGAGCATAATTGACCTATGGCCCCATTGCTGAGTCTGAAATCCAGAGGCCACATTTCCCCCCGGCCACTCCCAGCTGGACCACAGCAGGGACACTAGGGTGGGCACACTCTTGGGAGAGCTGGCACTCCTCTGATGGGTACCTTGGCTTTAAGATGCCCCATCCAGGCAAACTTTCTTAGAGCCATGCTGTGAGTTAAGACTCTTTCTCCCAACTTTCCTTCCTTCCTTCCTTTCTTCCTCACATGTGATCTGTCAGCTCTCCCAGCCTCCCCAGCTCCCTCCCCACTTTCTCTCACAGATGCTTCCCCTAGTAAACCTCTTGCTCTTGGTATCTGCTTCTGGAGGGGCTCAGACTAACACACCAAAGAAGTGCTGGGTAGTAAAGACGAGCCTTTTAGATTCCTTGTGGCATTTGCCTCGCTGCTCTGGAGCCCAGCTCCGGGGATAAGGTCAAGAGAAGCATGCCCTGGGCTGGCAGGGGGAACCTGGGGCAAGTCTTGGTTCTGCTAACTTCCATGGGGCCTTGGCGCCTTGCCCCGCTGGACCATTGATGGATCCCCAACACCTGGCTCATATTCACTGCCCTGCTGAATATTTGGAAGTGAATACAGCTTCCTCTAAATATAATTATCTTCCATTGATTCTTTCTTCGTTTCTGCTGATTTATCATCTGTCTTTTCTACTAGGTTGCAGCTCTATGGGGGACAGCCGTTTGTCTTGTTCCCTTCTCAGGGCCCAGCAGAGTCCCTGGCACACTGGAGGTGCTTAATATATATTTAGAAAATTAATTAATGAGCAAACTAATTGTGTGAAGCCTAGCCAAGCTGTTTCTCTTCTAGGGACCCTGGTTTTCTCACAGAAAATGAGGGGGTGGACAGGAACAGGCAATTCTTGAATAATAAGTGCAAGTAGCTAATAATCATTTCAGAAAAGTATTTAGTCTCATTATTCATCAAGTCTAAACAACAACTGGACACCACTTTTCCTCCATCAAAACAGTGAGTATGCTTTAAAATGCTGGTAAAGGTTTCAAAACAATCTGAGGTTACATATCAGAAGACTTAAAAGTATTCGGACTCTGGTCTTGTAATTCCATTTCTAAGACTCTATCCTAAGGAAATAATCATAGTTGTGGAGAAAGATTTATGCATGGAGATGTTCCCTGAAGCATTATTTATAACAGTGGAAAATGGAAGCAATTTAAATAATAATAAATAATATGTGACCAGGCTATTGAGGCACCAGGGACTTTATACATATATTTCTAATCTTCAAATAAACCTGTGAATTAGGCATTTGAGCCTGTATTTCACAGATGGCATTTAGAGGTTATGTGACTTGCCCAAGGTCACATAGCTAAGACAGTGAGTGGCAGAGCTGGGATTCAAACCCAGGTCTTTCTGGCCACATTTTGTCCACTGCCTCATGCCGCCTCTCACCACAGGGTATTGGTTGAATGAATTATAACATCCATGTGAAGGAATGCTAAGAGATGTATTCAACTGTTTTTCAAAATGTTTAATGATACAAGGTTAAGTGAAATAAGCACTTTGTATGCAAAGCCATTTCTATCAATGCTGTATCTGTTACCTAAATCAAATCTTTCAACTATGACAATATATCAAATCTAAAATATGAAAATGATATAGACATCGACAGATTACCACAGAATGGCTTTTGTGCTTATCTCTGGATTGAGAAACTGATTCTAAGTTTTTTCTTTAAATGTCTACGTATTCCCTAACTTACCAGAATTGAGCATTTATTTTATTTATAAACAGATATAAAGCAATAAAAATTGTAAATATCTAACAAAGAAGAATGGGTATAAATGATGAGTGTTTGAAGACTTTCTGACCTTTACAGAGAAAAATTCCTCCCTGAGCCCCAAGGCACTGGAAGGGGAGACAGCAACCTGCATGGGTACCGTGGGGAAGTTGTGCTCCTTGGTGGCCCTGCTGCTCTGCCAGATGGTTTTGGAGAACTCTTCTCTTTAGGTTGCATCTTTCCAAGAGCTTCCTTTGAGGTTTAGGGTTAGTGTAGAGAGACTGGCTCAGTTACGGTTGTGGAGACTGACGTGCTTGAACCTAGGAATGGCCTGGCAGGTCTTGGCTGCAGCCATCAGCTCTGCTGAGCACTGGAGACTCTGAAAGGTCTCAGGCACCTTTCTGCCTTTTCCATCAATAGATCCTTCTGCTGTCTCTGCCTAGCAAATGGTCACGCTGGAGTTCACCCATTACATGCTCTTACTTTGGTGAGGGCACCACCTTGTGAAAAGCACACTCCACACCCGTGGAGCTAGCAAATGCTGACCTAAGTACTCTGCATTTCCTGCTTTTGACCCCCGCTGCTGTCACTTTAGCTGCTCAGAGATACGTTAGGCACTAATTTTACTCTACTCTGAGAACCAGAAGGCTCAAAACCAAATCTAAAATCATTCCTTTTTTTTTCATATCCCTACAATTCTGTTTCTAGAAATGGGATATCTACTTTCTTAATTTGATTACTCGTCTTATAGAAACTCCAAAAATCCCTTTGAAAAGAGGATGGAGAGTGACAGCTGACTGATCATGACAGAGAGCTGTGACCACCATGCTTGGAACCTCTGTCCCTCAGCAGAGTGACTTGCACAGCCCCTCTCCCAGGCATCCCTTCTTCCCGGTGGTGGTCCCCATTCTCTTGAGTCACATGGCAGGCCAGGGGCTGCTGTTTTTGGCTCAGGCAGAAGTTACAGTCACTGTTGTTTAGCCTGGTTCCATTCTCTCTGGTTTTTTCTTTTCTCCCATTTCCCCCAGACATAGATTAATCACAAGTTAATAGGAACTGAAAGCTGAACAATACAGGAATCCTTCCAGAGTGGATTTTTCTGCCTTTCTTTCAGCTGCTATGAGATTTCTATCAATGCTGCATCTGTTGGCTGAATCAAATCTTTCAAAGGTAATACACGATCCTGGCTGCTGGAATTAGTCTATGACAATCCAATTGTGGAGGGGACATTTAAGAGCCCATATACACAGGTGCTTTCTTTCTCAAGGTTATTCCTGTATGAAGGAGGATGGTTTCTTTTTGTGTGCTACAAAGAGTTGATAACGGGAATGAAGAGTTGGAGAATCTTACCAGCCACTTCTTCCTTCCCAGGGCATGGATTCAACCTCTGTGCAGCAGCCTTGCTGGAAGGGCATAGACCAGAGAGAGGCTGGAGCTGGGTGGATAGCGCTTTCTTTGGCTGGGGGCTGGGATTACTTTGTCTCCTTAGGAAAGATGCTCAAGACCTCGCACGCTGTTGTGGTGGGGGCTTTGTTGTAAGTTCTGCAGAAGGCAGGGAGCATTGAGGCTAGGCTTCTAGGGACCCCATGTTCCTTCTCTCAGGAAGTTGGGTGGAAGCTTCACTTTCAAAGACCACAGGAGAACATTTCCCCCCACTGGGTTGATGAAAGGTGATGGACAGATTGGGAAATTTATGCATAGAGAGGAGAAGGACATATTTCTTATGTGCATATATCAAGTGCCCTTATTACGGACACTTGCTTAGACAGAGGTAGGTTTGAGGGCAGGACTCAGAAGTCCCAATCCCCACTCAGTACCTGAACTTTAACTGTCTTAAGATTAGAAGTCACACAGTCATTCCTTGGCTTTTCTTGAATCTCAAGAGAAGACTCTATAATGGGCCAAAAAAGCCTCATGGGAAGAGAGGGGCTTCCCTCTATCCACATAGAGGAAGAGAGCTGTTTTCTGGTGTCCATAAGAACAATCAAGTGCAGCATGAGAGAGTTCATTTAGCCCAGAGGCTCTCAACCTCCGGGAATTTTTCCTGCCCCGCCCCACCCTGAGACATCCGGCAATGCCTGGAAACATTTCTGATTGTCAGAACTGGGCAGTGGAAGAAGGGTGCTACTGGCATCTAGTGGGTAGAGGCCAGGGATGCTGCTCAACATTCTACAAAGCACAGGACAGCCCTCTACAACAAAGAATTCCCCAGCCCAAAATGTTCATGGTGGCAGGGTTGAGAAACCCTAACCTCAACTGAACAAAAACTTTGTGCCAGGGGCTCAGTGGGCCAGTGTACCAAGAGAAAGGGGGAAATATGTTTTTTTTAAAAAAATAGGGTTGACTTCAGCTAATGAGTAGAACCTCCTAGAGGGATGGGCTGTTTAAGATGAGTTCAGGGACTCCTCTTACTGAAGGCCTACTCTGTGCAGGCACTGTGCAACGCTGAGGCTAGAGGCCACAGGAATGGACAAGCTAGGCTGCTGGTGCCCTCTGGGAGCCCACCTCCTCAAGGAGATGGTGGTGCAGACTCAGAGGACACCAGGCTGGGGAGTCGACTGGTGGGCACACTCAGAGCCCCCACTCTGAAGAACCGCTACTCCCTCCCAGTCCCTGACACATGATATGTTTTAAAGACAGTAAAGCAAATAATCATCAATATTGGATGGGCTGAGATTAGTGGGAGAGAAGAGGGAGTCCTGTCCGATTAATAATGCATCGAGGACTCCTTCAGAGGAAGGATGAATTATACAGAGCATGGTTGCCCAGGCACGGGAGGAAAACACTAGCCCTTTAATTGGGGGCTTGGTTAGATTTCTGTGGCAGGAGCTCCCTGCATTTGACCCCGGCATCAGCCTTGCTTCCTGTCTCGGAGAGGGTCCTCCCTCAGCTTCCCAACAGTGACAGATCCTGGAATATTAATATTTAGACACATGGAACAGTCTGAGCCAGCTGGCCCAGTCTCCTGACCAGCCATGTGGGACTTCTGTAATTAGCGCCTTGGAGCTTTCTGCTCTCCAAACCCAGCCCAGATGCCACCTCCTCTAAGAAGCCTTCCCTGACCAGCATCACATAGTCCTGGGTCACAGTTACTTGGGCACATGTTGGAACCTAGCAGGGCCAGCCACATATATTTCATCAATTCTAAGATGTACGTCTCCTCTACATTTTCACATCTCTGATATTGGGTATGTTACACAATCAATGGTGTGTCATGGTTCAGTTGATAGAATTTTCCTAGTAGTAACCCAAATAAAGCTGTGCCTCACTACTGTTATTGTCTTGTATTTGAAGAAATATGGTAGAAGGTGCTTAGTGTTTCCTCCTCACAGCCCAGCCCTGCAGGCGCTCAGTGTTTGCTGAATGAATGACCGAGTGAATGAATGCTCAGGTCATGGACAGGCCAACTCCACTGGCTCTAGCACCCTCTCTGGACAATCTCCTTCCTGGACGCTCCACCTTTGCCTCACACCATCCCAGCTGCTCCACTCTAGGGAGGGAGGACTTTTCGTTTGACTCATAGCCCTTGCTGAGATGACTCTGCTTGCAATGAACGAGGCTCCAGAGTGATTTGTGAAAGATCAAAGCCTGGAAGCGAAGAGCGGCCAAGGCTAAGTCCTGGCTGTCCCAGGGACAGGGCTGCAAAGCAGAGGGATTCTCTGTCTGCCCTGCAAACAGCAGCAGCACCCATGCCCAGGGTGGCTGGTCTTCCCTGGGCTGTCCGTAGGCCTGAGGGAGAAGGGATGCTCCCCTGACCTTCATCACCCAGATAAGAGGCAGCCACGATAAAGGGCTGTGGGGGCATTTATCTGGGGCTGGCAGCCTCAATTTTTACCCAGGGGCAGTGCCTACTGGTGCATGAAGCGGGCAGGGAAGGGAGCTGGGAGTAGTAGGCCCAGAGCAGCACTGGCTTCACAGGTTCAGACTCCTTTGGAAGTGGGGGATGGGGGGGCAAATTCTGCCCAGATGTCCCCAAGCCACAAAGGACAGAGTGCTGAGGGAGGGGCTGGTCCCAAGTCCAGGCCCTTATAAAGGGCTGCCCCTGTTGTTCCTGCTTCTCTACCCTTGCCAGGGCCTGTTGGGACAACCCTCCCTAGGCCCTGGGATGGCCCTACTGATTTTTAAGGTCCTTTCTAGTCCTGACCTCCTGCAGCTCAAGCCTCTACTTCTGCCCTAGTGGCCCTGGCTCTGGTTGGATGCCACACAAGTGGAGGGGAAATATTCTCCAGGACAATGTGCTCAGAGCTTGTGGCACCTGAGCCCTGCCATCCCAGCCCCCAGGGTCATGCAGCTGTGCTCCACCCCACCTCCTTGCTCCCATGTGTGGAGTTTCAGAGAGGCACATTTGGAAATGCAGGCGGCCAGGTGTGGTGGACAGAGTTGAGTGATCTGGCTCTAGTCCTGACTGTGGCTATGTGGCCTTGGCTTCCCCTTCTTTTCATCAAAGTAGTTCTCAGGGCTCAGTGCTGAGGTCCTAGCCCTTTTCCCACCCTGCCTGGATGTCCGTGCCAGAGGTGGGGGGGCCATATCCTAGCAAGCCTCCTTTCTACCTGAGTGCCCCCCGCCCTTGTCCCAAGTTCGCCCGTTCCCAGCTCATACCTGATGGTGTTGTCAGTGTCACAGGGGCAGGGCAGGGTGCAGCCTGGGCCATGAAGGCCCTCTGGGCACAGTCGCTCCTGGCAGCGTGGGCCCTTGTAGCCAGGCTCACACTCGCAGGCACCCGTGGTGGGTGAACACGGCCCACCATTGTGGCAGTCACAGCGCTGTGAGCACTGGAAGCCGAAGGTCCCGAAGGGGCACTCCTCTTGGCACCTGTGGGAGAGCAGAGTGTGGCTGAGGCTGTGGGCTGGGATCCCTCACCTGTGCTTCAAGATCCTCCAGGATGTGATCCTCCTGGTCATCTGGCCCAGGCCTGGTGTGCTCCACCCTGCTCACAGCCTCCTCCCCTTTTCTCTCTCCTCCTCCAGGAAGTATTCCAGGGTTTAGTTCACCCCAGTCATTTCTGCCTTTCACGCCAGGTCTCCTCAGTGCCCCCAGCAATGAGTTTGTATTACCATATTTTATTGATTCCAAGCCTAGTATTTTTTTTTTTTTTTAAATTAAAGTTGTGGTGAACTATACATGTTATGGTTTAAATGCTTCTCTCAAAATTCTCATTGAAACTTAACACCCAATGCCAAGGTATGAGGAGGTGTGGCCTTTGGCCTTTGGGAGGTGATTAGGGCATGAATGGATTAGCGCTCTTATAAAAGGGCTGCAGGGAGCCACTGAGGTCCCTTTTTTTTTTTTTTTTTTTGGCTCTTCTATTCCTTTCACCCTCTGAGGATACAGGCTTCAAGGCACCATTTTGGAAGCAGAGATTGGGGCCCTCATCAGACACCAAACCTGCTGGCCTCTTGATCTTGAACTTCTCAGCCTCCAGAACTGTGAGAATCAATGTCTGTTGTTTATAAATCACTCAGTCTTGGGTATTTTGTTATAGTGGCATGAGCAGACTAAGACAGTGCACAGCATAGAATTGATGATTTTAACTACGTACAGTTCAGTGGCATTAAGCACATTCGCACTGTTGTGCTACATCACCACCACCCATCTCCAGAACGTTTCCATCTTCCCAAACTGAAACGCCGCACCCGTTAAACAAAAAACCATTTAGGTAGGTTTAAAAACACCTTGGTTTTTTTTTGTTTGTTTGAGACAGAGTCTCACTCTGTCGCCCAGGCTGGAATGGCACGATCTCGCTGCAACCTCTGCCTCCCAGGTTCAAGTGATTCTCCTGCCTCAGCCTCCCAAGTAGCTGGGACTACAGGTGTGCACCGCCATGCCCAGCTAGTTTTTGTATTTTTAGTAGAGACGGGGTTTCACCATGTTGGCCAAGATGGTCTCAATCTCTTGACCTCATGATCTTCCTGCCTTGGCCTCCCCAAGGGCTGGGATTACAGGCATGAGCCACCTTGTTTTTCAAATATATTTTTATATCTCTGAAATTAATCAGATAAGCCTTATGTCTGATGACATGTCATAGTTTAATTGCCAGTGTTTTTCCTTCTTTGCAGTGTATGAAATAATGATGCATCTCACAATCAGTGGCACCCTAGATTTGATGAAATGGGGTGATTTTGTTTCTATACAGTGTCTCTGGTTTGTGAGCCTTTTGGGCAGATGTAGAGTCTCTCTTGTCCTACTGGGAGACATGTCCCCTCCCTGACTCTGGATTTTTCCTCGAGTACAGGAAGCATCCTCCTTCATGGGACTATAGAATGCCCTGTGACAAGGGCTATGTTCCCTTCCTTGGAAGAGTGTCCCCTCAAGGTAGGGGCTGAGTCTCTCCCATCAGCCTGTGAGCCCCCAAGGAGGAAGCCTGGGACCCCCTTTGTGTCCTATGCATGTCTGGGCTAGTACTTGGAGCTGCCAACATGAGGATAATTATTCAACTTCATCTAACTCACAACCATGGGTGTGGCTCCTCCGTGGGTGAGTGTGACCTCCACTGCTGAACACCTGGTTTCCTGAATGTGCCTCAACACCTGTTACCCCTACCCTGGGCTCTTTCCCAGGGGATGCAAATTTATTGTCACAGCAACTAGATCCAGATAAGTCAAGGGGTAAACCTGGGGGAATAAGGGGTAAAAGAGGGAGACAATTTCTTGCATCCCAAAGACAAATGGAAATGGCCTCTGGAGTTCTGTGGGTTATCTTTGTTCCAGCACTGATTCAACAGTGCGGATAATGGAGAACTAACCTAAAGCTCTGACATCCTCTTCCTTTTTGTAAAATGGGATGATACTCACTAAACCTCATCAGGTTCTGTAAGAATTAAATGGGATAATATGTGTAAACATTTAGAAAGGTACCCAGCCCATAACTGGGGCTCAATTTGAAAAGTTAGTGATTTTCATTAGTACTCATGTTAATATTGTTTTCAACAGTTCTTATAACAGAGCCCATCTGACCTTCTGGCCTTAAATTCAGGCATGAAAAAGCCCAAAGGGAAAAATTCTAAAATGTTGATAGTAGAGTGGATTTGAGGAGTGTTTTAATTATCAGATGTTTCAATTTTCCAGGTTTTCTATATATCTTCTACAGTAATCAGAGGGGAAAAGCAATTTAAAAAAAAAATACAGTTCTAACTTCTTTATTATGTATTTTGGAGGATCATGGGGATGGAAATATTCTTCTACAGACAGGGCAGGGAGATTCTGTGTCTGGGTGACTCAGTTGTTTATGGTGAGGATGAGTGGCCAGACCCTCGTGGATGCGGCAGGGCCAGCTAGCAAGTGTGTGGGGGATGAGAGCAGCCAGCGTGTGGGGCACCAGCCTTGGCAACTTGAGACTGGGGTGTCCTTGTCTCTCTTCTGTGCTTTCGTTGCTCTGTGCCCACAATGACAAGGAGAAGAGGACAGTGACTGGGGTCTGGCCTTGTGTGCTTCCTTCCTAAGAAGATGCCGCCAGCTCTCCCCTCTCAGAGCCACTGTGTAAACGAGTGATCTGGCAGAACAATGGGGCAGCAGGGATCATGATGACAACACCCCTGGGCACCGTATACCGAGGGGCTTCCAGCTGCTCAGGCCCCAGAGCCCGTCCCCAGCCCCTGGAGCAGCAGATACTCTCATCACCCTCACTGTGGAGTTAAGGAGGCTGCCATGGGACAAGTGAGGCAATTGCTCCAAGCTCACGCAGCCTGCATGTGGCCAAGATGACCCCAGATTGTCTTTCTGTAAATCATGTCACATGTCAGTCAATCTGAGGCCTCATGAAGGGAAAGAGAGCAGAAAAAAGAGGGAAGAAGAGGGAAGAAGAGGCAAGAAAGAAGGGGATGTCTGGAGAAGGAATGGAAAGTAGAAGACAGAAGGAAGAGAAGTAGAATGGGGGAAGGGAAGGAGGGAAACTGAGGCAGAAAGGAGGAAAAGAGCAGCTGAAGACCTGAATAATCACTATCTGAATTGCCAGCCCCTGTTCAGCCTGCAAATGGATTTCTCCAGAAGTCACTGTGCTTTGCTGGCCTCGAATGTCTCTCAAATGTCGGGTGAAAAAACTCAAACCAGATACTTCCTGATACCTGCTCCTTTTCAAACATTCCTGCTCCCTCCTGCCTAGCAGGACTGGACAGAGCCCTGAAACCTAAGCTCCTCAGAAGGGCAATTCCCTAGCCCACTACAGTTTTTGGGCGACCGAATCTACAGCCCCAGAAAAACAATCTGGAAATGAAATATTGACAACCTCATTCATTTACATAATCAGCCTCTTTTTTTCCCTACTCACAATTTAAACAACTTATTTATTTAGAGCTCAAGCAACGACAGCTAATGAATTTTACACAAAGCATGCTAATAACGGGGCCCATGGAACAGAAGGGTAATCACAGCAGGAATTAGTTTTCTACTTAAACATTCTTCCTTTGCACCATATCAATCTAATGTGTCCGATATTGCCATTAACAACCAGATACATTGCTCAATTAAATTACAAAATGAGCTGCAAAGCCCTCGTTACATTTCGTGTTTAATTTGCACTGGTTTCTGCCTATCCGGGGAGGCCTGCATTATTACACCCACTCAACTTTAATATGCTTGTGATGATTTGGGTGGGTTAATGCAGCTGTCACCTACGAAATTAATGGAGACAATTTTACAAAATATTAAACACCAGACAGCCCGTTTAGGTGAGAAGCCCAAATGCTGCCTGGCCTCCTATTGAACTCTCCTGTGGTTGATTGACAAAGCTTGCTGGAGGGCCCCTTGGCTTCAGAGGTTCCTCTCTGCCCAGGATCATGGACCAGGCTCCAGCAAGCAGAGAGATTTTGGATTATTTCTCTATTTGGCACATCTTTACAGGGAAAATCGAGAGCACCAATGAACTAGGGTCTACTCGTGTGGAGTCCAGCCGGCTAGAGTCCTGGGCCTGCTCATTTCCAACAACAAGCGAGCAGTTTGCACTCTCATGAGAAAGTGGACTGACAAAGGAGTCCTGTGCTGGCTTGAGGGTCTTCCTGGTTCCAGTCCATACTGGCTCATCCTGAGCATTTCCTTATGTGGGGAGATGATGAGGATGGGAACTGGACTCAATGTTTCAGCCCTCCCTCCCACGGGTCAGGGAGGGACGGATCCCCAGATGCCACACCCCACGTTCTACGCTGGGGAAGTTCACATTGATGAACACTGGCTCACAAAGAGATCAGATCTGGCTTAAAAGACTTCCAGCTGGAGGTAAATCAGTCCAAGGCTAATGGACAGTCTCTTTTCTGGACATCACTAAGGATTTGGGGCTGATTCTAGTGAGAACTGGAGAAGCCCCGATTATGTCTGTTAGAAACAGAGGGATTCATTAGTTAACTCAGCCTCCCTCCTGGCTTCCTGGTGTCACCCAGGCAGGGAATGATGAAAAATGTTTCCTCATTTTGTCTGAGAAGAGCATAAAATCCAGGAGCCAGAAGTGAAATATGGATCCCCAGAGAACCAGGCATGGGGTGTACAGCCCTTCTCTGCTTGAAGAGACCCATGTAGTCAAGAGTGAGAGGGAGGAGACTTGGCCCGGGTTCTGTGGGTTTCAAATATCTTTTTCCAGCTTCCAATCTACTCACCATCACACACGCTGGTTTCTCCCTTTTCCTCTGCACCTGCCCTGTCATCATGGCCTCCTTCTTCCAGCTGTGGCACATGTGCACATATGGCAATTTGCCAGTTCTGTGTTTTTTGATTATCCACTCTGCAAGGCTGGTTTCATTCCGGGACACTGGCACCCTCCTTCAGTCTGCTCTTAAGCCGCAGGCCTTCAGAGGATGCAAACTGATGCCAGTATCCTTTTGGTGGAACCCAAATTAGGACTAAAAATCCCCTTCCAGAAGAAATCGTGCAAAACATGCGAAATGGTTTTGCACTCTCAACTTCCTTGGATTATCTGTGCCGCTGCCTCCCTCCATGAGTGCAGAGAGTAGAGAGTGGGGGCAGGTGCTCACGGCCTTCCCCTAGGTGAGCCCATGCAAATGCAGGGCTTGGGCCACTAGGCCAGAGAAGAGGGTGTCTCTGCAGGCCGAGGGTGAGGAGGGATCAGGAGCCAACTCTCTCTGGCAGGAGAGCTCAGAGTGCTTTCTGAGAAAGGAACTGGAAGGCTGGCAGAGAGAGAGCTATGAGCTGTTCTCTGCAAGGCTCCTGTGAATATGAGTAAAATGGACAGCAAAGACAACAGTTAACACTATCCTTACCTGTCCCCCATGTATCCAGCTGTACAGTGGCACTGTCCAGTCACGTGGTCACACTGCCCTCCATGGTGGCAAGGACAGTCCTGGCTGCAGTTCTGGCCAAATGTTCCTGGTGGGCAGGGCTGGGCACACACTGCTCCCTGAAACAGAGGTGGGAAGGCATGTATGGTGGTGCTCCAGAGATGCCAAACTTTCCTGGGAATGGCACAGCTGCTGTGGCTCCAGGGACCACCCAACTTCCCAGAAGAAGTTCAGCCAGCTGGACACCCGGGCTCCAAAGCCCTCCTCTTAGAGATGGGAGATGGGAGACTGAGGCTAACTTGCTCATCCAGTTATTCAGCACAATTTAGAAACTGACTATTGTATACGAGGTGCTGTATTAGACACTAGGGGTGATTTGACTTGATTCCTGTCTTCCTAGTCTACTGCAGAGAGAGCCAAGGAAACAGCTAAGTACAAGGCACTAAGTACTCTCACATGGGTACACAGTAAAGTGCTGAGGAGACACAAGGAAGGAGGCTGAGTAAACATGCTGGTGTGGAGACGTGCACTTTGCTCAACTTCTTTCCCAAACCCAACTGACGAGAGTTAAAGGGGTACAGGTATAAACCTACAAGGAAAAGAGGAATAGGAGACAAGGGATGTCACACACTGGAAGATGGAAAAGCAGGTGGAGGAGCGATAACTGCTTTGGTTTCTGCTTCCTGGGCAATGTTAAGTGCCTGCAAAGGGAGTGTCATAATGCTGGGTGATGAAGTCCTTTGTAACCTCAAAAAGCTCAGGAATCAGAGACACTGGGACCCTCTGAAGGTGAAGGTGCAGGTAGGATCAAAACAGGACTGTTTGAAAGTTTATAAAATAGGGAATTAGACCCCTAATCTCTGCCCCCCACCCCCCACCTTGAATAGCCTGGTGAATTGTCCAAGTCTTTCAGAGAGGTTGGTGTCACAGGCTGTGGACAAGAGACACAGGCACAGATGAAGGTGGGGGTGGAACTCTCCTGCTGGTCTCTTCCCTGCTGTGCTCCTAAAGGCTGACTGCCGGACTGAACTCCCTGTGGCAGGAGGTTGGAGGGTTCCTTTCTAGGGACACTGAGGAGTTCAAGAGAAATGACCTAAAGATATTGATAGTTGAGAGTCCCATCAGTCAACACGCCTGACATCGCCCTCCACCCCCAGGTGTCCAATTAGCTTTTCTGAGGCTCACTGTAAAACGTGAACAGATGGCCAAGGATCACCAGATATTTGAAACAGGCCCTCACATGAAAGAGAAACACTGAAATAAACAAATAGACAACAGGAACACAGAGGAAATAGGAACCATGCCTGGAGCAAGGAAAACCTAAAAAAAAGAGAAGGAAAAAAGCCTCTATCATAATTAAAATGAACATGCTCAGGTAGCTATAAGAAAATATTGCACCTGTGAAAGAATAGAGTGCTCTAAAAGAGGATATCCAGAGAGTAGGAAAGAAGTCTTGAAAATTAAAAATAAGATGGCAGAAATTAAAATGTTGCAATAGAAGAGCCAAAAGAAAGTTGAGGAAATCTATAAAGTACAACAGAGAGAGAAAGAGACAAAGATAGAAAGATGAGATTAAAAATAATAGAGAAAATATAATGAAATTAGAGGACCAGTTCAGGTGGTCTGACATCTAACTAACAGGAGTTCCAGACAGTAGAACAGAGAAAATAGAGGTAAGTAAATTAATGGAAAATATAATGAAAGATAATTTCCCAGAATGGAAGGATGAAGAACCTGGGTTTCTGAACTGAAAAGGCCTACAAAGTCTCCAGCAAAAATATGAAACAAGACCCACATCAGGCCATGTTATCATAAACTTTTCTATCTCTGTGGATAAAGAAATGATGTTCACAGTTTTTAGAAAGAGGAAAACAGACTAAGTGTGGTGGCTCATGCCTATAATTCTAGCACTTTGGGAGGCTGAGGTGGGAGGATCTCTTGAGGCCAGGAGTTGGAGACCAGCCTAGGCAACAAAGCAAGATCTCATCTCTACAAAAACAAAAATGAAAATACAAAGAGGAAAACTAACATACAAAAATCAAGAATCAAAAGGTTTTAGACTTCTTAACTAGAAGCCAGAAGACAATGGAGCAATGCCTTAAAAATCCAGAGGAAAAAAATCATTTCCAACTTAGAATTCTACACCCAACTAAACTAACACTAAAGTAGGGGACTCAATAAAGACATTTTCAGATTTGAATAGCCTCAAAAAGTTCACCTTCCATAAACACTTTCTCAGAAAGTTACTGGAGGATTTGTTTTCCATAAAAAAATAATTACCCAAGAAAGCGGGGCACGGTGGCTCACACCTATAATCCCAGCACTTTTGGAGGCTGAGGTGGGCAGATCACCTGAGGTTCAAGACCAGCCTGACCAACGCGGAGAAACCCCATCTCTACTAAAAATACAAAATTAGCCGGGTGTGGTGGTGCATCCCTGTAATCCCAGCTACTGGGGAGGCTGAGGCAGGAGAATCACTTGAACCCAGGAGGTGGAGGTTGCAGTGAGCCGAGATCACACCACTGCACTCCGGCCTGGGCAACAAGAGCGAAACTGTCTCCAAAAAAAAAAAAAAAATTACCCAAGATAAAGAAAGGCATGAATTCCAGGAACTAGGGACTCCAACAGAAGACAGAGGGGAAAGGAATCCCAGGACAGCAGTGAAAGGAAGCCCCAGATGACAGCTATGCTGCACGCCTGGAGAACAAAGAGTTAAAGAGTTCGGACTGGAACAGAAGATGCAGGCTTCTAAGAAACTTGCCTCATAAACAAAACAAAAGCAAAACCTGGGGAGACTTCTGATGGGTCTGACCCTATTGAGAGGAGTCTGAGAGCTCTGTCAAGAGAGTTTTAAGGATAAATTAGTAACAATACACATGCATATTAACATAAATATTAAAAAAATAATTTAACCAAGCTGGACGTGGTGGTACCTGTCTGTAGTCCTAGCTACTCAGGAGGCTGAGGCAGGAGGATCACTTGAGCCCAGGAGTTCAAGGCTGCAGTTTGCTATGATCGTGCCTGTGAATAGCCACTGCCCTCCAGCCTGGGCAACCCAGCCAAATCCTGTGTCTTAAATTTTTTTTTAATGATTTAACCACAAATTGTAATATAAGTCCACTGGGAGGGTGGGAGAGGGGTTGCTTGCATCTGTATGTGTGTGTATGGCAGAGTAGAATCTTATTCTACAGCAGGAAGTCAAAGGATTCAATGACTGTCTAAAATGAAAAAGTCAAGAAATGGCTATAAAGCATGTTATGTAGAAAAATGGAGGGAAATGCCAGAAGAAATATCTAAAAGATTTGAAAGTAGTTGCCTTTAGGGAGTAGGATTTGTAAATGGAGCAGGGGACTCCCCCGCCCCCCAGTATTAGCCTTGTGGTATTATATAACTTAAAATTACACGCATGAGTCTTAGGTTTTTAACAGATCTGAGCCTGCTCTTGTCTCCTGCTGCCCTTCCAGCCCTGCACACGCCCGACAGTCATTTCTCTTATGGAGATCAAGGATGTTCCTCCAATTAATTAATCAATTCGTTCAACACACAATTATTAAGCACCAATAATCACCAACCCTTAGAAGCTAGTTTGTTCAGGAAAATTGTGCCAGAGCAGAGTCATCTTTCAAGATCATCTAGTTTACTTGTAATGAGTTAAATAGGAGGCCGTTCAGCTCAGACTCTCCTCCACACACAAGGCAGAAGTAGAGGGGCTGAGAGGAGGGACTGAGGTGAGGGGGGGAGGGGGGGAGGGGGGGCAGAAGCAGCTGAGGACAGTGAGAGACTGTGTGTGTGTGTGAGAAAAGGGGAGAGAAAATTCACTGAGGTCAGGTGCGGTGGCTCATGCCTGCAACCCCAGCACTTCAAGGATGTCAAGGCAGGTGAATTGCTTGAGGGCAGGAGTTCCAGACCAGCCTGGCCAATGTGGCGAAACCCCAGCGCTAGTAAAAAATACAAAAATTAGTCAGGCGTGATGGCAGGTGCCTGTAATCCCAGCTACTCGGGAGGCTGAGGCAGGACAATCACTTGAACCCGGGAGATGGAGGTTGCAGTGAGCCGATATTGTGCCACTGCACTCCAGCCTGGGCAACACAGTGAGACTCCATCTCAAAAAAAAGAAAGAAAAGAAAAAGACGAAAGTCACTCCGAGTAGGGGTCCTTCTTCCTCCTGGAGGTGGTGGGGGTACTCCAGGTATGGCAGGGGCCTTTCTCAGTGCACATTAAAATTCTAGGTATTCATGAGGGGGGAGAAGTCTTTCTGGCTTCTATCTGACTCAGTCTTCTACAGTCCTGGGCTGGATAAGGACACTCTTGGAAAAACTTTTTTCTTTTTTTCCCGAGACAGAGTTTCACTCTTGTTGTCCGGGCTGGAGTATAATGGCGTGATCTCGGCTCACGGCAACCTCCACCTCCCGAGTTCAAGCGATTCTCCTATCTCAGCCTCCTGAGTAGCTGGAATTACAGGTACCCACCACTACGCCCAGCTAATTTTTTGGTATTTTTAGTAGAGATGGGGTTTTACCATGTTGGCCAGGCTGGTATTGAACTCCTGACCTCATGTGATCCACCTGCCTCAGCCTCCCAAAGTGCTGGGATTACAGGCATGAGCCACTGCACCCAGCCAAAAAAACTTTTTTTTTTTTCCTAAGAGATGGGGTCTCACTCTGTCATCCAGGCTGAAGTTCAGTGTTGCGGTCCCAGCTCACTGTAACCTTGAACCTCTGGGCTCAAGTGATCCTCCTGCCTCAGCCTCCTGAGGAGCTGGGACTGCAGGCTCATGCCACCACACCTGGCCAGGTTCCTGTCCTTTTTAGTGCTTCTCAGACACAACCAGTGCTCCCTGAGGAGGTCAGGAGAGAAGTCTGGTGCATAGAATGTGTCCCTCCAGCATTCCCTAGGGAAATCAGGCACCATTGAGGCTGTGTGGTGAAGTGGGTGAGCACCTCTTTCAGCCCCTGCTCAGGATTCCCAAACTGCAGGCATCCAAGCCCACCAAATCTCTAGTCCTCTTCCCTGGTTTGAGCTCCTGGGGCCTGAGAGAATTGGATATTTTGGAGGTCCTGTTGCCTGGTGTGGTGGGAAGAGCACTGGGTTCAAAGTCAAGATTTGGGCTCAGATCTCA